AAGAAAAACAAAAGTGCAATTGCATATGCCAAAGACTATGTGTGTATAAAAGATACTACGGAGGGAGCAAAAAAATAATTGGCCAACGCACGGGCTGCCCGTGCGAAGATTTGTTTTTTGCATAGTTCCCCACAGTTTTTGTCGCTGCCGGCACCAGTTTTACCGGCAAATACTTTTAGCTAGACAGATTTAGACTGGCCGCCAAAACTGTCAGGGGACACCCCCGCAAAATTTCAGTCTCCTAGCTTCTCAGGTCCTCGAGCTAGCAACTTACCCGAAAAAATTTTCACGGACCCGTACGTGGGTACCACGCCTACCCGGGGGCTGGGTTTGAGCTTATTAACACCTACGCGGGCGCGGAACGTCCCTTTAAAATTCTGGTCTTCTAGCTTCTCAGGTTCCCGAGCTAGCAGTTTGCCCGAAAGAAATTTTCAGGGGCTCCTACGTGGGTACCATGCATACTCGGGGACTGGGTTTGAGCTCACTAACACAAACTTGGATGGGGAACATTCCCTTAAAATTTCAGCTTTCCAGCTTCTCTGGTTCCCGAGTTAGCAGCTTGCCCGTAAAAAACTTTGGCGGGCTCTTACATGGGTACCACGCGGGTAAGACTGTCCGTTTTGGGAAGTGGAGGCCCGTATATTCATGTAGATTAAGTTTCCAAAATTTCAGTCTCGTGACTTTTTTAGCTCTCGCGATGAAAAATCGGTACAGACGAACACACAGACACACACACAGACAGTCCCTCGTCAATGTGCGTTTTCTGCATTGCATAGCTGTAAAAAACACATAAAAATGAAGGGGAGATAATGAGCCAATTTCTACTTTCCCTAAAATCAAGCTGTTTCTTTTTAAAGCTAAAAACTGAGAAATGATCATGGCAAAAACTTGCCTTTGTTCGACGCAGCATATAATTTGAACCTAATTTCTCAGTACTCACTGGTTCAAGCTTGTTCGGTGCAGTAAAATGTCCGAATTCAACAGAATTTTAAAAAAAAATCAAATTTTAGCATAAGATCATCCCTGCTATCCCTAGTAAAGTATCGGCGTTGAACTATGCCGAAACTTTTAGCTATGCCAGTCCTTGTTAAAACTGCTTGCATTCAGGCTTACAAAAGCCAAAACTGATGAAAAAATTCAATATGTGAGCTTTTCGAAAAAAGACTTGTTCGTCACAGGATTTCGCCTTTTTTAATGTTTATGATTAGTGCATGTGATAATATTTGTGCTCTTTGTGATAGA